ATGTTTCTAACATTTTGCTTTCACTCTATTTCTGATATTATATAATTAAAGGTAACAGTTAAAATGTACCATTTGATCCAAAATTTGCATTAGATGGGATTCACCAGAAAAAGATATCTGGAATCTTACATGATATTCACCACAGAATTCAAGTTCATGTTAGCCAATATCACTGTCAAAGATTATACTATCGAATTATTCAAGCATCAGTCATTAACTTTTTTCGAATTCATTTTTAGTCTTTTTCTTTTCTCAGAATTAAAAGTTTTTTCTTTCTTTTCCCTATTTTCTTGTATACTGATTCTGAAAAGCATTAATCTGAACAGAAGCATATTGTTTGACGAATCATATGCTCTTTTACGTGTCTTTACATTTACGTATCTAGACAAGTATTTTTAATGTCATACATTGATTTAAGCGTAAATAAACAAATAATTAAAATCAGAAGGGGTTTTTTGTGGATATTATAGTAAATTCAGTAGTTGAGATCATGAGTCGATTGAAGGTGGGTTCGAATCCCGCGAGGCCGGATCGTGGATGCGCACTGCTTAGGAGTCTCACAACAGGTTTTCTATGGTGGTCTAGCTTAATCGACTCATAATCTCAACTATTGAAAATAAATAATTATTGGACTAAATTATATTCAAAGTCTTTTTATCATTTTCCGCATATTACTCTTTTAACTAAAATTTTTAAAATCTTTTTGAGTCAAAAAAACAGTCGTTATAACTCCGAAAATTCTATAATTGAACACTTATTGGTTTCCAATTGGGAAATTATTTATTGATTGACCTTGACATTCCTTAAACAAACAAAAAGAAAGAGATGTTATTTTGGACAGTCCAACATTTGAAATTCCATAATCATCTAAATTCAATACTGAAACTCAGATGATCACATGAACGTATGCAAATATAATCATATTGGTTATCTTAACGTATGTATGTGAGAGAGAGAGAGAGCGTATATACACATTGCCAGACAGATGTACTAACATCAAGCAAGTATTTCATTAAACATTGACAAGATAAAATGTTCATAATGCATGTACATAATACAGTCATGGAAACTTGAAATTTCCACCGGTTAAGCAATGAGAATCAAAAGAAGAAATGTTGAAAATAATGAGGATAGAATGTTAACTCACGTACTAATCAATTTAAATATTTAAAAAATTAAAATACACATACAAAAACTGTGTAGATACATAGAACTATTTATTTGTCTACTATCTGGGATACAATAGTGAAAAAAAAACTTTCTGTTATCTACTGAAAATAAGAAGGAAAAATGTTATAACCTTAAAAAATTTCAAATAATACTCAATATAATTGTATATGATTCTTAGTTTGTGGTCTATCAAAAGTCTTACCAACCAATAGTTGAGCTTAACTCAGTAACCAAGTTTACATTAAAGTATCTTCGAGCCACGCCTATTATTTAAAAGGGTTATTTATACTGCTTAGCTAGTCAAGAACGGAGTAACCCAGTCATCGGGTCTACGTTTGTAAGTTTACAGTTAATTCAGTTGATTGGATACGAGCATAAACTCTATTAGGTTATCCTCATTTTCTTCTTTAGAAAAATTTATAGTGAACAGCGATATCACTTAGTACTAAACTATTCTTCAATGAAGTAATTTGTTAAGATGATATTGATTTGATGATAGTATTTTTCATGAAATGGTATCAGCTAGCTAAAAATCAACCAATGAAATACGGAGACTTATCTGGAATCCACACTTGGAGCTCTTATATGTAGATTAGGATGAAATTAGTTCAGCAATGTCGGAGGTGATCGTATACTGTTTGGGTTCTAACTAAACTGTTTAAAGCTATCGACTTAATTGTGATACTTCAAAGTATAAAATTCTTTATCGACTAAAGTAATCGATGTTTTCTACTGCAGACGATAATCATACTTAAATGAAAAATCTGTCTAGCATTTTATTGAGTTTTTAACAGCTATTAAAATAGATATCACCATGAGAGATAGGATTCACAGTTCAAATGAATATCTTGAATACCCATTCATTTAAAAATGACATGACCAGTCCATCAGCGGTGGAGGGATGTTTGTATACTCCAATTTGTTTTTAAGACTAACATGAGTGACTCTATCATACGCTTTCTAATGCGGAAGAAATACTTCCGGAAACCACGATGTCAAGCTGCAGATAGGTCTACAGGTGAGAGATCATCACGTAGGTTAGTATAGACTAGTAGTTCCATTATCTTGAAGGGCACTGAAAGAATAGGGAGTATATAGGATCATTGTGTCGACCTCCATTGAATATTACAGTGATGTGTGTTAACTTCCACCTGTCTGAAATCCCATCTTGGTTTCAGGGAAGTGAGAAGGGCATACTAGAGGTTGATGCCAGAAGTGAGGACAGTTGAATGGACCATGTCCATGTCAGGTGTAACCTTTTCAGATCTAGTTTAAAGGACACCTGTCCGTTACTCAGGTTAGCTTCCAATATTCCACGCACTCTAGTTTTGAAGACATGGTTAGTTTGTTTTTGAAGATAGTTTGAATGCTTAGTGGACATATATTGCTTCCATTGATTTTGTTCCCGAATTCAACCTACCTCAGATTAATATATTTCAGTTTAATATTGTAAATATTCTTCGACTCGTCACGTTGTATAAAAAGTTCAAACACCAACGAAATACTAAACAGTCGAAAACAAAATTTTTGGGAAATTATTGTACATCAGGCGAACGCATTCAGCATCCGAAATACCAATGAAGAAAACTTAAGCTAATGAGAATAAACTGAATTATATATGATATTTCAATTGATAGGGAAATCAATCGTTGTATGAGTCATTAAATACGTTTATACATAGTTTAAAACAGCTACTAGTGTAGGTGAGTAAACAGACACATGCACACTTACAAACACAAGCGTACTGTGATGAGTAACTAACACATTTACTGCACAATCAAATATTTTATGTTGTGTTTAAATTTTTCACAAGAACTTGTTGTAATTTCATACTGCGTACTTCAAATTCGAGTTCTTTCTTGCGTCCTATCGAAGTTCTAGACTTACTGAGATTACTAGTATTTCATAATACTATTTTGAATTTAAAAATACACACATGGAGGACTTATGTGGATAGGAGAGAATAAATATGCCTGTAAAAGTAATTGCAATATGTTTAGTAGGCTTAACAGTGACACGTATAGCAGAAGAAACCCATTCTATCGTTAGAGAAGAATTAAAGATAGTTCAGTGAAGAATCTATCGGCATATAAGTCACACCATGATTGACTAGATTGAAGAGATTGATTTACTCGCCTAGCCTTTTGAATTTGCTCAAGTAAGAAAAATTCACTTAGGTGTGTATGCTGTTTTCTCATCATAGAGTTGCCACAAACATTTCAAAATACTGGCTAGTCAGTATCCCTGGTAGATGAGCTGTTAGGACTATACAACTAGGAAACGCTGTAAAAGTAGACTACGAGCAGCATAGTTAACTTAGTACCATGGCTCACTTATTAGTCTTAATCGCCTCGAGTTAACCCGAGTGGTGTAGGTCTCTGACTTACACAACATCATGTTGAAGCTGCACTAGTCAATTAATCCTATACTGTCCCGCCTTAACACAGTGGACAGAGTTTTCTGTTTTTTCAGTCATACTAGGATGAAATCTTATCAGCCAAGATTATATTTAGATGAAAATAGGAGTGATGAATAACGTTGACAGTGTATGACCACTCTGCTATTCATACTGATACCAACCAACAAATTAAATAATTAGCCTAGAAAATTGTTGACTTTGACGAGTTACACTAAAAAATCGATGTTCAGTTATCACTCTATCGAGATATGGATATGTTCAGCGTGAAAAACAATTTGGCCAAGGTCCAGTTTTATTTGACTGGTTCTGTGACAGAAGCCTCAACTTGTCAAAAAAAGGTATATGGTGAAATGAGCCTATTAGGTTACAGAGGGGTTTATAGATCAGCTAAGTCCAACAATGACTTCAAACTTCCCTTAGGTCCTTAGTGCAAATGTCTGACTTTCCTTAATCGTTTGAATGTTCTATAGCTGCTAGTTCACTTATATTCTAATTAACAGCACATTATTAGTTTTAGCAGTCTGAGGACGCGATTGAGCATATCCTTAGGCTGCATGAAAGTTTTAGAGACGGTTTTGACGTCAGAACACTTGGAAATCTTGACAACAGCCATCGAAATATGATGCAAACGACATTTAGAGACGGTTTGTGGCATGCACTAACTAATAGCACGTAAGACAGTAGTTAGCAAGAAGTCTCGGTGAGTATGTTTACCAGGTTAGGAATAGACCTTTCAATCTACCTGTTCAGTATTATCCTTTAAGTTTGTCATATTCAAGCGCTTAAAGTTCCAGCATCAGTTGTTTGAAAGGCTTCTTAGTTTAGCTTTACAAATAAGACTCGCTTTTGACTAAGCAGTTATAGAGAGACATGACTCCTGATTCATTCCTGCTGAACAAGAGAAATATTCCACATCTATTTAAACTTAGCGGTAGTTGTGACGCAATAGACTGTAAACCTTTTATGAATCTTCTTAACTGCAAACACTTGGTAGCATAAGTAGTCACAACTGACCACTAAATTGTATGATTACATTCCATCTACCATACCGTGTTATTCGGCAAAAAAAAGGGAAACGAAATTCACTTGAATACAGCCAGAATATACAAATTATGCCACAAAACAAACAGAGAAATAACCAGTCATAGTGCAAAGAAGATAAAATAGCACAACCTTGAAATAAATCAGACAAAAAACAAACTTTCAGGTAATCTACATAATCGAAATTGACGAAATCATCAAAGTGATGTAAATTAAACAAATCTCGTCTGAAATCAGCATGGCCACAGTTGATGGAGAAGTCAGAAAACGACACAAACGTCTGCAGTAGAGCGACGGTCAGTTCTGCTTAACACAATATTCAGATGAAAAGGCAAACAAAGAACACAGCTAACGCAAAAAAGACGAGGTTTGGGGCCTAACATTTTATTCAGTTGTCATTCGATACATATGTAAAATTGAGGGAATTGTCGTGGAACACATTGGCTCCGTTCACCTCATACTTGCACCGATTTTCTACCATCTAAAAGGAAAATGAAATGAACACATACATGATGAGAAGGTTGAAGAGGAGTTGATTTAACATACTGGCTGTAAGTAGGAGTACGCAAATATGGGTGAGTGAGCACACTAATTAGTCGGTCGAATGACTGACTGATCGACAGACTGACCGATTGACTAATTGATTGATTATTTGACTGACTGACTGACTGACTGACTGAATGAATGAATGAATGAATGAATGAATGAATGAATGAGGGATTGGTGAAGTGTCCCAAACAAGAGTGTTTGAAAGTGACGAGATGAACGACCAGCTAACACTTCCCAATGCACTAACCACAGCACACAGAGAATGGAGACGGCGACCTGACAGAAATAAGCACCACATACATCGCCACATAGGACAAGAAGCCACACGAGTGGTGGGATGGATTGGTGACAGTCAGTGAACACACACATTCACTCAGTCAGTCAGTCAGTCACTCACTCACTCACTCACTCACACACACAAACACAACACAGTGAATTCGCCAACCAGTTGTTAGACGTTTGATATGAGAGTGGAGAGTGATGAGTGTTTGTTGGTAGACTTACCTCGTGGTGGACGTTAGTATTTTCTTTGATGTGTTGGAGCGTACGGACCTGAAAACAAGTGAAACAGTGGGTGTTGGTCAGTCAAACACTCGGTAGATTACGTGGCACTTGTAGAGAAGTGAGTGAGTGAGTTAGTGAGTGAGTGAATGGTTGATTGTGTGAACTGGAACAAATGTGCGATGACATTCAACGAGTGAGTGTGAGAATTGATGGCGTTGTAAGAGTTAGTGAGTGAATGAGTGATTGATTGAGTATGTGATCTGGCTGTAGAGTGAGTGAATGTGTTAGCGAATGTGTGTATGTGCACGGGCGGGCGGGCGCGCGCGCGTGTGTTTGTGTGTTCGGAGGAATGACTGGTGTGTCGTAATGGTCAGGATTATTGAAATAAACGGAGATAAGGAATAGAAGTAGTTGATTAGTGTAGTGTCGACTTACCACGAACACGTGGTGGTGATCTGGGTGGGTAGGCTGGTCTCGGTCCTCTCTTCGATGGTTTCGGACGTGTGGTTGACTTCGTGTTGGCAGGCGAATCTGTGGAATAAAATCAGAGTACAGATGCACTGTCCACAGTCTGAACACGGGGACACATGATTCGAGTGATGCACACTGGGAAATCATTCCCAAGCAAAATTCAATGCACACCAAGAATGAAGAGTGGATGGACTTACCTGGTTTTGCTGAAGCTGCTGCTGGTGTGTCTGGTGCTGCAGGTGAATTCGGTGCGGCTGTTGCAGCTGGTTGCTGATCAGGTGATTTGACTGGAGATGAGGGTGCGTCATCTGCATTGAAAAACAGTAACGAAACAATGTGTTGTCGGTCTAAGTTAAGTTAAGTTCAATTGCAGTAATCTCATTCAGTTTGCGTTTCCATCAGGTGTGTGCATGTCGACGACTGACTTGACGGGTACCACTCACTACCTAACTACCTAATTGCCTAACTGACCGACTGCCTATCTGACTGACTTAGTAAGTAAGTAAGTAAGTGAGTAAGTGAGCAAGTGATTGATTGATTGAGTGAGTGAGTGAGTGAGTGAGTGAGTGAGTGCATGAATCGATGAAATGTTGAATGAATGAATGAATGAACTGGTGAATGAATGAATGAATCATCGGAGTGATGGATGGTTGGATGGGGGGATAAATGGATGAATAGATTGGTGAATGACTAGTCGAATGAATGAATGAATGAGTGAGTGAATGATTGAAAGCGGTCCTTGTCTGTTGGTGTGAAGCTCACCTCCATCACAGTGCACCACATCCAGATAGTTCACAGCGAAGGCGAAAGTCAATATTGTCACCTGTGTGTGAGAGAGAAAGAGAGAGAGAGAGTTTTGTTTGGTTAGACGAATGAATGCCTCACCAATGTTCTTTGCATTTGTACGTTTGGTGATTTCTGATGTTCCAGTGAGTTGTGGACTAGAATTTATACGTTTGTGAAGTTGTCAATTTGTCGGTCAACCAATTGAATGCTAGTCTTCAACAAATCGTTACTGACATTGTGAGGTTTGATCGGTGGGAGAAAGTGTCATGTCACTTTGATTGAGTGAAACATTCAGTGAAATCAATTGACGGATTGAGTGACGTACTGTGAAGTTTGCTTGTTTGTCTTGTTCGGTGTTTAGTGTGTAGGAATGACGATGGTGTCAAGGAATGAGTTTACAATCTGAATTATTTATCATAATATTGTGTTTGGAGTTCTGCAGCATTCCATTTTTAGCACTCCACTTAATTTGTTTTGTACTTTTGTTTTTTGTTGATCAAATGTGAATTATATTCGTTGCCCACACACTGTTTATCGGCGACTGGCTGTTTCATTGTTTGGCTTTTTGTTTCGTTAATTTTCATCGAGTAATATTTATTATAGAAATTTGTATTTATATGGCAACAAAGAATCCATGAAATATTTAAAATTATAAGAGATAGATCTCGATGAGTCCCAACGAATCGTTGATCAGTACAATACAACAATCTTACTTACTTACGCCTGTTACTCCCAATGGAACATAGGCCGTCGACCAGTATTCTCCAACCCACTCTGTCCTGGGCCTTCTTTTCTAGTTCCATCCAATTCTTGTCCATTTTTCTCATGTCTAGCTCCATTTCCGGGCGTAATGTGTTCTTTGGTCTTCCTTTCCCTACATTGGTCTTGAGGATTCCATGTGATGGCTTGTCTTGTGACGCAGTTCGGTGCTTTCCTCAATGTGTGTCATATCCACTTCCAGCGCTTCTTCCTGATTTCTTCCTCCACTGGGATCTGATTTGTTCTCTCCCACAGTAGGTTGTTGCTACTAGTGTCTGGCCAACGGATCCGATGTATTTTGCGTAGACAACTGTTAATAATCACCTGTATCTTCTGGATAATAGCTTTCGTAGTTCTCCAGGTTTCCGTCCCATACAGTAGAACTGTCTGTGATATCCAGAGAGTTTCTTTGTTGTCATACAGTTGTCTCATGTTTCCTTCTCTTGCAGCCTTTTCCGCCGTCACTGCTAAATCTTTCACATATTTACGTTTGTCGGTTTTGATGCTTCTCTTCACTTGCTTGTTTACTTCTGTGTATTCAGCTTGTGCCTTGGCTTTTCCCGCTCTTGTTCGGCTGGTATTGGTTGCTTTCTTCTTGTTCCTCCTTTCTTGAATCTTATCCAGTGTATCGACCGTGATCCAATCCTTGTGATGGAGCTTCTTTTGGCCCAGAACCTCATGACATGTTGAAGTGATTGCCTCTTTTATCTCTTTCCAGTTGCTCTCCATAGTAGTTCCTTCTCCATTGAGTACATCATGAAAGGCCTGGAACTTATTGCTGAGGGCTATTTTGAATTTGTTGAGTTTGTCAATATGTCGAAGGAGAGCCGTATTAAACTTTTGTGCTGTTGTCCACCCCGTTGTCCAGTGCCTCCTGAGTTTCAATTTCATCTTGGCGACCAGCAAGTGATGATCTGATGCTATATCAGCTCCTCTCTTGGTTCTCACGTCCTCCATCGTTCTCTTGAACTTTTTGTTGATGCAAATATGATCGATTTGGTTCTGTGTGGTGTGATCCGGTGAAGTCCATGTGGTTTTGTGTATGCGTTTATGTGGGCATATAGTGCCACCTATAACCAGTTTATTGAAGGCACATTGATTTGCAAATCTCTCACCATTTTCGTTCCTTTCTCCAAGTCAGTCAATGTCGTCCCATGATCTCTTCATATCCGGTGTAGTCAATTCCAACCTTGGCATTTAAATCTCCCATCAGAATGGTCAAGTCCTTTGTTGAGCATTTCTCGATAATTGACTGCATCCCATCTTAGAATTGATCTTTAGCATCTTCATTGTAGTCATTGGTAGGCGCGTAGCATTGGATGACGTTCATTGTAATGCCCTCTTTCTTTGTTTTGAAGGAGGCTTTGATGATTCTTAGTCCACGAGATTCCCATCCTATAAGTGCATTTTGTGCTTGTTTGGACAGCATCAATGCAACTCCTTGTGTATGTGGGGCATTTTCTTGTTCATGTCAGGAGTATAACAGCAGCTCCCCTGAAACTAGTCGTTGTTGTCCAACTTGCGTCCAATGTGTTTCACTGATCCCAAGCACCTCTAAATTGTATCTCCTCATTTCTGCAGCAATTTGGAAAACTCTCTCGGTCTCCCACATTGCACGAGCATTCCATGTACCTTAATAAATGGTTTCTCTAGTTGTCAGAAGGGGCATTGGGCTTGTGACTTCCGAAGAAACTCGGCTTTCATCATGAGGCGTCATAACTCTTCTAAATGAAGACCTTCTGACTCCCAGGGCAGAGTTTAAATGGTTTGAATAATTTTTTCTGGTTAGCGTTTTTTTAGCGAGTTAGTTTTCTACGGAATGGGGTCGCTAACCCCATGCCCAACCCTCCCCCTTTATCCGGGCTTGGGACCGGCAGTAGCCCCCGGAGGGACTCCAGACGGAGTTCAATACAACAATCGACATGGCCTACATGGGAATTCGGACTTCTATAACCTGTTATATGTCTTCTTCATTGGTCTATCATGTATTTGTCTGGCTGTTCATTGGGTACAAACTCTATATTATCTGGAATATACTCATATGTATTAGAACTAACAACCGAAATTGAAACAGAATCATCTGGTTCCTGGAGTTGTATTTGATCAAGATGTCGGTTGTATGTACTTAAATCACTGATATCTAGAATTTGAACCATGTGTCTACTATCCATTCCAGCTCATCAAATGCTGAAGAAGCAGTTGAAGTAATGGCAGTTTTTAATGTCCTGATGAAATCTTTTGCCTAACCATTAGAACAAGTGTATCTGGGACCAGTGAACAGATGTCTACACCCTATGCCATTGAATCAGGTAGTAACTGCACCTGCGGCAAAATGAGAGAAATTATCACTCAACGATGTCATATGGGCCATCTCTTAACTGAAAAATCTTTTTAATACTTCGACTGTGAAGTCAGAATTCGGTAAATCTGTGTAAAAACTTCAGGATACTTAAAAAAGGAACTAATGAAAACAAGTCAATAGTATTTACTGAGAAATAGATCATAATTGTCTAAATGAGTTTTCTTCCAGGCTTCATACGATGCCGGCCATAGAGTGCACTTTGATGGATTATTTTCACAGTTATGATGTCTTTCACAAACGTTTACTCTATGTCATATATTTGCATTTATCTCCGGCCACCAACATGTGAGCCTTGTCAAAGATTTCATGTCCTCAACACACAAATGTCCACTATGAAGATCTTCAAGGACAGGTTTACGTAATAAAGGGGGAATAATAACACCATTAAGAGTAGTGGATAATTCATCCTACTTGTCGCACCAGTGAGTTTCTGATTAGAATTCCAACCTTTTCGCATAGCACTGAGTATACATAAAAAATACCGATGACTTTCTCTAATGAGATCTGGACGGCTCACATGTAGAGGTTGGACTAATAAACAGACCGCAGTATCAACAGGTTTATATTGTGATAACAATCGAGATATGTAATCAAAATTTTGACTTTGTTTGGGAATCCTGTGCCGAATAGTATGTTCATAAGCACTCAGAGGAAAACTTTGGTGGCACTCTATCTGACTGCAGTTAGAACACATGATGGTCGTTATCGAAATATACATCCCGGCTACCCTCGTATATAATTGTCGATTTAAATCACGTTTGTGAATAACGAAATTAAATAAGCCAAATATAAGAATGGATTTTGAAGACACATATTTCATACAGTCGCTGATCCAGACGTTCAGAGGAACGAGACGAATCGGAGGTATGTGAGTCAATTCGTTTTAACCAATTATGACCCGATATTTATAGTCAGACAAAAATAGGTCACAGATATGTGAGGAGTAGGGTAGGGGATTAACACACGCTCATATAAAAAGTCAAAGTTAATATGCCATAATTGACAAAGTTTAAATGTGACTTAAGAAGAATGAATAAATTGGTCTGTCTGGAAGCTAGAACAACCCATATGGGCTTGACATAGTGACAGCCACTACAAAACTTCATCGTTAAGCCATGGTAGATGAGGAGCGTGTTAAGGACGCTTCAGGATGATAGATGAATCTCAAAGCTTCATTATTCGTAACAACAGTGAATCGCTTTACAAGTAAATATATATGAATGTTAGGTTCACAAATTGGATTGTTTCAGTATGTCTGTCGGAATATTTGCATGAAACACAGATTACTGGTCTCCTAAACTGCACCATAACTTACAGAGGATGTATCAGTAATAAGTACAGAATATACGCTAGGGGAGTGTGTTTGAATAACACCATCACTTTGAAAAAACGTTAGTAGACTTCGTGGGTATGACTCTTGTTCCTCACCACATTTAAATGAACCGGAAGTCAAGATTTGAAATAAACAATTAGCACAGCAAGAGAAATCAGGAATAAAACGAGAACAATGTTGAGGAGAACCCACTAGTCAGCGTAGTTCTGTAAGATGTTCCGAAGATGGTTCATTTGTCAGCGGAGCTAGTCGCTTCATATCTGGCTTAAAACCGTTAGCATCAACTAGCTATCAAAGAGATTCAAAACTTGATACACAAAATAAACTCTTATTTTGATTCATGGTAACATTCTTCTCAATTAAAAGACGTAGCAAAGCAATAATTCTTTGAACATGAGATACTTTATCAGAATCATGAATAATAAGATCATCTTGATAAACTTTAGCGTCTTTAAGACCACTGGCTACATTATTCATCACTTCTTGAAATATGGTTGGAGGAGAATTGAAACCAGAAGGAAGTTGTATTTGAATGGACCAAAAGAAGTATTAATCTCTGCCAAAACAGGCGAAGATTTATCTGAGGAAATTTGAGGATAAGCATCTTTTAAATCAGCTTTGAAGAATACTTCAGAGCAATGAAGTCGATTAAAAATATGTTTAACTTCCACCATGGTCCATGTTTACTTCAACTAACTTGAGTTCAGTGTTAATTTATAATCAAAGCATATTCTAGGGGTCTTTCCAGCAGACTTCAAGGGTGTAACAATAGGAGTATCTCATGCTGAAGACTGAATCGGTTCAATCATAATTTTCCCAGACAAATCATTTAATGTCTTATGCACTGCTTCTTGAAGACCATAGCGAGTTATTCGTCCTTTATGAAAGACTGAATCACCCTGTAGTTGTAGTTCTATAGGCTGAGCTTTC